TCTTTATTGTGTCAATGAAGTTATGCATCGAATCAACGACCAAGAATTCATTAATTAATGAATAGGCTCCATCAGCTTGACGTATAAGTTAGTGATTTGTTGAACGTTCATAACTAACGAACGTTCTCATTAATTTAATGAATTTTAAAGTTTTGATATAAACCTATTCGTCATGCGAGAATTCATTAAACACACCCGCACTCCATATTATCGACAGTATATCGTCAATTATCCGGAAATTATATTTTGTGTTGGTGTTACATTCAATTCTTTTTGGGAGAAATTCGGAATTCAGGTATGCATTGAGTGGAATAACTTCTTTATCTATAGTGTACAGAAAACATTGCAGAACGTAGAACACTACCCGGGAGCCATGTGTCAGCGAATACAACCATTGACGCTGAAATCCAACATTGCTTGAAGTGTGCTAGCGCGGCGTTCGGGCGACTTCTAGAGAGATTCTACAATAATCATGTCATCAGAGCTGAGATCAAACTTCGCGTCTACAATGCAGTTGTAATACCAACACTCACATATGGCTGCGAAATATGGACCACCTACAGAAGACACATAAAAAGCCCAGCAAAATACCACGAGCGATGCCTAAGAAGGATCCTAGGGATTAAATGGCAAGATCGACGAACGAACATTAGTGTTTCAGAGGAGGCCAACACAACTACCATGAAAGCCCTTATCATCAAGTACCAACTTCGCTTGAAAGGTCACCTCGTCCGCATGCCCAAAACACGTCTTCTACGACAGATTCTCTACAGTCAACTGGAGAACGGAATCAAGGAGGTCAACAAAAACGCTACTATGTTCTGGGTTTATTCGACAATTGAAAAAGAACTTTTAGCAATCGTATGGACAACAAAGTATTTTCGACCCTATCTTTTTGGTAGAAAATTCACAATTTTATCAGATCAGAAACCTTTACAATGGCTATTTAATGTTGAAGAACCAAGTTCTAAATTAGTCAGATGCTGACTAAAATTATCCGATATTGATTATGAGATCAAATACAAAAAAAAAGGAACATTAAACATAATTGCAGTCGCACTATCAAGAACTTCTGCAATATAACTTCATGCCATTCAAAAATCAGATCCAGATGCCAGACTAGCATCTTGAGATGAAGAATTTCACAGAAAATTAGGAGTAATGCTGAAAGATACAACATTATGTAATGATGAAATCATAGCCGAATCCTTTACACACTCTAAAGTATATCTTCCTAAACAAAGCAAGCAAACAATCAACAAAAACAGCATCAGAAAAAGAACCTGAAGAGGAACCTAGGAAAGAAAGACCAAAAATATTATCCCAACTAATACCTTCAAGAAAAAAAAAAAAAAAAAAAATTCCCATAGAAATAGAGAATCTTCAAAAACTTAAAAAAGTAAAAGCCACCTTCGGATGACGAACAAACAGTTTCAGCCCTGTCTGAAAATTAGCAAACAATACATACTTCTATGGAAAATCTAATATTTGGAGCTCCATATACTGAGAAACATATAAATATATTTGGAAATCAAATTGTATTCCGATATTCGAATAATAACACAATAAGAAAAGAGATAACCAAACTATTTGGTAATAAAAAGAGATAATATTCTTCTTACCAAATAATCCAACATCACAATTTACTAATTTAGTTAAGGAATACATGCCATCTGGTATTTATTGCCTTTATTTTCTAATCTTTAGAACCTATTGTGATACGAGCATTACAAGAATCGTTTAATTCGAATTCATTTACCTTGAACATCTCGAACTCTGTATAAGAAGACATCGCAGAAGTTGATCTTCAACAAGAGAAAATTCAGCAATATCATGAGACTGAAATCTCTCATAGAGGAATCACTGAAAATGTTGCAGCCTCAAAGAAAAGATTCTATTGGCACAATATCGAGAAAGACGTACAGAATTATATCAAAGTATGCGAGATATGCAATAAAACCAAGTATAAACGACAAATCTACAAAATTATATTTAAACCAACACCCATTGGTACGAATACGAAAGTATTTATATTCGAACGTATTTATATTGACACATAATAATCCAAGGGCGTAGATACTTAACATTTCTGGGGGGGGGGGGGGTAAAGTTAGGGAGGGGGATCCGGGGGAAAATTTCAAGCTCATGCTAGCAGTTTTAGTATTTATTCAATTTTGGCGGTGATGGGAATTTGGAATTCACAAAACTAAGATATTATATTGAGAAAATATGTTTAAGTTATAAACTCGGATATATAATGACATCAGCTGATGATCGGGTTAATCGGATCGAAGTAAGCGCAAATTTTTAAAGGATCTGGGGATTCAAACATGGCATGATTGGCATAATAAAAAAACTTATTTACTGGAAAAATTTAATCTACACAGGTATCTATACAGTGAGGGGCAAGCTACTAGGTATATAGGATGTAACCTGACGAATTTGCAGGCGTCCGCATGTCAGAAAATGACAAATCGATTTAGCGCTAACCTGGCGACAACCAAGTAAAAAGTTTCTAGGGTTGTTAATAATTTTCAAAAATACGTTTGTGTTTCTCCCTGAAACCAAACGAAATGACGTCCCGGAAAATAATGAGGATCAAGAAGCCAAATAAATTATGTTGTTGGTTGTTGGCAATAGTTAACAAAACTTCAACTATTTCGACTCGTGCGCTTGCGCAGGATATTGACTCGAGTACAAGGACGGTTAGGAGCCACAGAAAAAAAAAGTATCGTTCGTAGAAAGTAAGAAACTCCCAAAAAATTGATCCTGAGGACAACATCAGGCGAATGGATTTTTGTGAAACTGTCATTAATAAGGCAAATGAAAATCAAGATTTTCTTAGAAAAATTGTCTTTACAGATGAGTCGACATTTCAACTCCATGGTCGACATAATCCTAGTCACACCCGTTATTGGTCTAAGGAGAATTTACACAGGTATTTTGAGCTTAGAGCCCAGCGTCGTCAAAAGGTAACTGTCTGGAGCGGTTTGTGTGGATAACATATTATTGGGCCGTACTTCATGGACGCTAACTTAACTGGTCCAAAATATTTGGATCTTTTGCAACGGGCCAACGGCAGATAATTCCAGAAATTGAAAGATTATCTGGTCCTATAGATTTAATGAAATATGGTATCAATAAGATGGATGTCCAGCCCATAATACGGGTTTCATTCTGGACCATTTGAATAATACTTTTCCGAACCGTCTCATTGCTGGGTCGAGAGCTACAATACTGTGACGCTCTCCCGATCTTGCACCCAACGATTATTTTCTCTGGGGTTATTGCAAATCAAAAATGTATGGTTTTCAGGAGAATCGCGCCGTGAACCTTGAGCAGCTGCGTTACAAAATTCGAGAAATATATCTAACTGTCACCCCTGTGATGCTAAATAATATTCGTAGAGCCTTCTATGATCGTTTAGGTCATTGTTTAGTTCAAGAAGGTGGACTGGGACTGTTTGAACATTTGCTACATTGTAGTGCAAATGGTAATCGAGCCAGGTTTTTGGGGTAAAACTAGAATTTTTGTTTTTATTTTACTTAATTTTTTTTCGATTTTTTATGTTGAATATATTTTTAGTTTTTCCTGGATGGCTTTTTTAAAATACATGTTTTTTTTTTCCATAGATTATTGTTTCGGTTCCAAAAAAAATCTATCTATACACGCCGTTTAATAATTATAAGTAAGTGAAGCTCGACGATACATCTAAAAGCACGGTCTAGATGCTACGTTTTGCATCAAGTTTTGTCTGCACAGTTCAACACGTGATCGATCAGGTATCAGTAACGTAACGTCTGGACCGGGCTTAAGTCTGTAAAATCATAAAACGTACTGATGTGAACCATGGTTTATGAACATCAAAGTCATCGAAAAAACGACAGTGGACCGACAGCGACAGGTGTTCAGACGGCTGCGGACGATCGTAAATTCGTCAAGTTGGATCCTATATACCTAGTAGCCTGCCCCTTACTGTATATATAAAAATGAATGCCACTTTTCGTTGTAATTTTATAACTCGAGAACGGACTCACCTAGCCAAACCAAATGTTTAGGGTTTGTTCGGACTATTTATTAGATGGTTTATGTGAAGTTTGCACAAAATCGGTCGAGCAGTTCTTCATTTATCACATTTTTTGTAATAAATTAATTATTCAATAAATGGAGGATCATTTTGCTGTCAAATTGAAACTTTTTTCAGCGTTGACAGTACCAGCATGTTGTTATGTCATTAATGTGGTCATTTCATTACTTATTCTATTTATTTATGAAAAAAATTTACTAAGCCCGCATACGGCGCCATGTCTTATAACCGATACCAAGTTTATTTTGTAATTTGTATTTTGTATACCGCGCCATCTCTGACACAAAAATCTCTGATACCTGGAACGAAGCTCGGCATTGCAGATACAATAGAACAATGCTGCATAGAACTATTCCACTATTCCGATCAGATAGAGTGGTGCAGAAAGAGTAGGTCAGATAGAGTAGTACAGATAGAGTAGAACAGATGAAGTAGTGCAGTGCAGATAGAGTGAAATAGGGCTGCGCTAGAGATTTTTTTTGTTTTCTTTACATTCTTTGAACATTCCTGTGCCTGAGTTTATTTATTTGGTGGTTCACTTTACAAGAATAATGCCCACAAGCTGCCTAAAAAAGGATGATGTAAAATTTTAATTTTAGGTGACTTCTGATCCAGAGAGTAAACATTAATTTTCTTCAACCAAAGCCAAATTCACCATCGAAAAAAACTGAATTTAATTCAGCTAATAGATACGTTAACACAACATTTATTAGGTACCTATATTTAATACTTCAGAGGCGGTACGAAGTTCGCCGGGTCAGCTAGTTATAGTATAAAATAATAGAAGTATAGTGTGTCTACCTAGGTATAGAGTTTTTAATAACTATTTTGCAAGCTAGTAAACCTATCAAAAACAGAATCAGGGGATATTTTTACGTCCCTATTTATATGCATTAATCCCAATCCCACAAGTCTATCTTTGCCCATGGTTGAACGCAACCAAGTTTTTAGCCGTTTCAAGGAGGAAAAGCTTCTTTCTGATGTTGCCAAACTTACTGGCACATTCATTTGTAAACTGTGACAAATATTTAGCTATGGTATTTTTTGTTGCTGTATAATCAATAATGTCTGCCTTTTTAAGTATATTGGAAGGAATTAACTCAGTAATTTCAAGAATTGTGAATAAATCTGAACTGAAACGAAATTTGAGATCTTCAATTACATCATCTAAAAGGGGTATATAATTTGAAATTCTAAAATTATCGACGGGATTGTTTGTATTATAGTTAGGACGATGTCTTTGCCTTGCATTTGTGCGGTCGACTAATATAGGTATATTAATTTTTTTATGCATTTCCTCAGCTTCCTCAAAAATAAGTTTAAACGAAGATTTGACGTTATTTCTTTTCTTAAGCAGTATGGCTATAATATCATTTATGAGCGACTGTGCCATGGATTTATCTATAGACTTTTTTTGCAAAACTCTGCGCAAATTTACTGTTAGGCTGAGAAAGTTTGATAAGGTGCATAGTGAAATTAAAAAAATTGGTTTTTAACATTGAGTCTAATAATAACCGAGCTTTTGTTGAAGAATTATTATCTTTCCACAGAGAAATAAGCTCCAAAGCATGAATAATCTCCTCAAAACATGACTTAAATCTTAATACGGAGTCATGGCGATCTGCCCATCTCGTTTCACAAAGACTTATCAACTGTTGGGCATTAATAAATTTTATAACTTTATTTCTCTTAGCGGAAGAATTAAGAAACGCTGTTTTTTTTATGGTCCCCACAGTATTTCTTATGGATTGAACATTACTGGTTTTCGAAATGGAAAGATTGAGAGAATAATTATAACAGGGACACTGATAGCGTTTTTCAATTTTTCTTGAATTTCTGATACGGCTCCTTTCTGGTCGGACAATATAACGCTACATGTATCAGTGCCTATACCAACAAATGTCTCCAATGATAAACCTAGTTCACTTATGAAACTTAACACTGTTTGCCCTAGTATGACTCCCGTAAGGACAGGCTCTTTGGTAAATTTATCATAATTTTCTTGATGGCAATCGAGAAAACCTAGAAAATCCTCGCTTATATTAAAGTTTTCATCTAAATATCGTATGACTAGTGACATCTGCGATATTTTGCTAATGTCTGTTGTTTCGTCAAACATAATGCTATGAAATTTAGATAATTTAATATTCTCAATAAAATAATTGACTATTTCATCGCCGCAACAACTGATAATTTCATTTTGAATGGTAGGGCTAATACAGGGTGATTCAAAAGTAAGCGGCAACCTTTCGGGGGCGTATTCCTTGCATAAAAATAAGACAAAAAGTTCCTATTAACATGGGTCCGGAAATGCTTCCTAAGGGAGTTACGCCCCTTCAAATAGGACACCTGAAAGACGTATTTTTCTCTATAACTTTGAAACCCTTCACAAATGGATTTTGAAAATTGGTGTATTTTATAAACATTTGATGGCAATTAAGATACTAAATTGAAAATTCAAAAATCTTAATCAGTGGCGTCACATACTGGGGAGGGTGAGGGTTAAAACATCCCTATTTTTTTTACTCTTCAGGTTTTTGCGATTCTGATTGAAAATTCAGAAAGTTTACAGTTTTTTACACAGAAAAGGTACTCTTGGTTCAATTCGATACAGCGTACCGTTTACGAGAAAATTGACTTTGAAAATTATTTGATTTGCGTATGTTTCGCAAAAACCTGACGAGTAAAAAAAATAGAGATGTTTTCACTCTCCCCAGTATGTGACACTGATTAAGATTTTTGAATTTTCAATTTAGTATCTTAACTGCCATCAAATGTTTATAAAATACACCAATTTTCAAAATCCATTTGTGAAGGGTTTCAAAGTTATACAGAAAAACACGTCTTTCAGGTGTCCTATTCGAAGGGGCGTAGCTCCCTTAGGAAGCATTTCCGGACCCATGTTAATAGGAACTTTTTGTCTTATTTTTATGCAAGGAAGACGCCCCCGAAAGGTTGCCGCTTACTTTTGAATCACCCTGTATATTGACTACGTGCTGAAGCTGATAAGAAATGATTCCTTGAGATGATATCATCTCCACAGGTCTCAATGCGGTATCGTATGAATTCACACAAATTGCCTTCATTTATATTTGAAGATTCAGTTACATCAGAATTAATTCTGTGACCCCTCAAAGGAATGTTTTGTTTGCCTTAAAAAAAAACTTAGATTAATTTGATCCCATAGAGCAGCGGTTCCCAAACTGGGGGGCGCGCCCCCCTGGCGGGGCGTGAAGCAACATTGAGGGGGGCGTAATTCTTCTAAACAAATTTTAAGCTTTAAAATAAAAAATCAGGTGAAATTTAAAAAAAGATGTCTACAATCCTACAACAGCGCATACATAAGCCAAAGCAGCTATGTTTTTTTTTCCAGTATGGGAGTGTAACGCCCGGAGCTACTCGGGGCGTGGAGCCCCGGAGCTGTACGTATGCGTCAACCTATCAGCTGTCACATCTGTGGGTGGCTATTTATCTATTTATTTCTTGTTATATCTCAAGATTGAACATTTTAAAATATATAGTTTTGATTCTCTTTCATTTTTGATAAATAAAAAAACAAACTGCACAAACAAACAGATAATTATTTTTAAAATTTGACATATTTGACACTAATGGCCGTTTGCACCGACCATTTTAAGGAAGGCTTAACGATAAGTATTCCTCAAAGTGACATGTAAAACTGTCATTTTAAGGTAAACTTATTGTTAAGCCTCCCTTGAAACGGTCGGTGCAAACGGCCATAAGACAGGCGTCTCACGCCATGATACTGGAACGGTACAAATCTAGTGCGTGGCACCCCCGAGGTGCTCTGGAGCGCGCCAATGTGCATACTGGAAAGCGGCTCTTATAAGTTGTATAGTTGTATTCCTTTCGAGAGTTTAGAACCCTAGAGCTACTCGCTCCGGTGTTAGTCGACCCCGATATGATTCGGGCTCGAGCACTCAGGGGCAAAAAACACTTTTCGAAAGGTATAAGCGCGTAACGCCTCGGAGCTGCTCCGGAGCTCCTCCTAGGTGTGAAAGGAATACAACTAATTGTTGAATTCGTTCGGCTTTGCACTCCACGGAGCGTAATAGTATGAGCATGGATTTCGTGACGTCATAGGCAGAGTGAGCTCTGAACAAGTAAGTAAGCCGAACGCAGATCGAAGAAAAAAACAAAAGAATGATGTAAATGGCCAAATTTATGTTCTTCTGGGAATATACTAAACTTAAACTGATTTAGTGTTAGTCTAATACTGCAGCAGCACGGCTTCTACAAACAGAATACAGTACTAGATAATACAGTTTTCTAAATATAAATTTATACTCATTCTAGCAGCTAGCTTTGCAACTTGCAAAGAACAAAGAACAAAAACAAAGATTTTTTTGATGACAATATTTTACTTTAAATAGGAATTCAAAATCTCCAAGAATTGTCTTTTGAAAACTCTTATTTGAATACATATTTAATCATAGGTTTAAGTCTTGCTATACCTATATTATATTCATAATTTTAATGTTTTACTGTTTTAGGAAGTTTAAAACTTCAGAAAAAGGTTGTGCAAATGTGCAAATTGAATGGTCCGATTTGAATACACAACAATCCACGTTTGCAACATCTTAAGGACGCAGGAGTTATATTAACCAATTGCCGCGCTAATTGATAATCAATTGACCTATCTTTTTTTACCTTGACTGCGCGCGCAACTCGTGGGTTGCAGGTGAGCGTCCAATGAGAAGGGAGTTTATTACGGGCTTGCGTCATATTCTTATTCAGGAGCCAGTTCAGAATTAATCGTTCAATTGTCTAGATTTGTTCTGCTACAATACAAACTGGCTACACTGCAACCCACTAGTTGCGCGCGCATGTCATCTTTTATTACTTTCCAACTTGTATTTATCATAATTAAGCTATCTTTTTCTATTTATGTGAGACAGGTCAATTATCCATTTTTTATATGCTTCAATGAGCTTACCCCTTTCCAATATGACTTTTTAAATACATTGTTTCAAAGTAAATATCAAGTTGCCATATCGGCATTAAATTCTTATTTAAGCCAGCACAGTCCCATAAGGAACGTTCTTTTGTTTTCAAGCTTTTGCTGTAGCAATTTTATCCCCATTTTCTTTTGTCGCCTCTGTATTTTAATTAATAAAATAAATGTTTTTAAAATACAAGTTTCGAAAATATAATTTACAAAAAAATAATAATATTCTGAAGAAAACTAAAAACTTCCAAAAACAATGCCTGGGGCCAAATGTAAATTTGCTTTGTTGTTCACTGAGTTTTGAGTACCAAAGTTGATCATAGATGTCGCCTACAACTAAAACTGGTTACTATTTGTAAAGTGAGTTATCGTGGACCCGACATCCGTGACAGAATATATTATAAATATACATATACCTAAATATATTTTTGTTGAAATTTTCTTGGGTATAAATTCAAATATTCTTCGAAATGTAAGATTCCATAATGTATTTACTTAAACGTTTCGGTCACTTTCGACTTTCATCCGTAACATTCGTTTCATTTCAAAAACAATAATTACGATAAACAAAATTAACATTTACAAGAACAAAAGGACGACACGTACATATTAAAATCGTAACCAAAATTCATTTTGTCGTCTTCATATTGATGCCTATCAAACGATTGTTCAGACATCATAGTTTACGGTTAAAAAAAAAAGACGTTTTAAAAACAAATACATAATAGTTATTTATGTATCAAGGGTACTAAGTAGATGATTATGCCCTGAGGGCGACAGCCTTACAAAGCCGAGGGCCTCTGGCCCGAGGGTTCGTAAGTCGCCCGAGGGTATATATATCTATTAGTACCCGTGGTGCATACAAACTTTTATGTCATACCAGTTGGTTGTGAATAATAAATACCTGGGAAAAAAATGTCACTTCGCAAATTGTCATCAGTGTGCAAACATCATCATTTTTTGACAAAAATAATATGTTTATAAGCGTGAATTTATATTTTGTTAATAAGAAATAAGTTAATTGAAAACTGTTTTTTGCGTCTTTATGCCCGCGCGGGCCATAATGTGTACTTTATGCCCGCACGGGCATAAAGTAATTAATTATGTAGATGGTATCTAAGGTATAAAAACACAATAATGTATTGGTATGACATAAATATATATACTACCCTGCTCGAATATTTGGGCTGCAAATGCCCTCGATGCATACTTTATGCATCCATATTACATAGACGTATACAAATGATGTATACTTATACCTAGCTATTTTTTAATCTGGCAAGAACAATGAGAATGAAAGTTTAAATCCAACAAATCAAAAATTCAATACCTATTATATTGAACTTCGTTTCAAAATTTTATAAAAATAAAAGCTATATATTAAAAATAAATAATTATTTAACGTATGGTATAAAATTTCCTTC